TTCCGCCCAAGCTCAATCGTTTGGATATCAATTCACTGATCAACAAAGGTTAGTTTTGCAGGCTATTCACATACAAATTAGAGTACAACGCACCTTAATGCATAAACTTAACCATTTGGATACCACCTCGCTTATACCACAGTATCGGACTCTTGACGAATATTTGTGACGCTGTGCCACTTGACTTACGACACACAATTACAATGTATAAATTCAGTCCCTGTGTAGGGCAGGCCCCGGACACTTCGTGTGCCTTCGGGTTTTTTGCGCTCTCATTTTTATTCTCATTTTGATGCTCGCGCACTCATTGCACGAGTTCGGTCGTTCAGTCGCAGAGAGGCGCATTTTGAAGAAGGTTGCGCCTGCGCTTGAATTGGTCTTTATATGTATGCGTGTTCATGCATTCTTATACAGGGGTGCATGTGTGCGTTTATTTTAATTCGAAGCGGCAAGAATTTCATTTCGGTTTACAAATTGAAATCAGTAGTAGCAGTAAAATGTTTTGCATATATGTATGTATTCTAATTAATAGAAATCAATCTATTGAGATAGGAACAGGGCATATCGCAGTCGGTGTCTGCGCTTAGTGGCTGAGAAAACTTCAAACCAAATCCGCTTTGGTTGTTGTTCTGCGAGCCGATGGTGCCTGCATACCCTACCGACGATTGAATTTTAGGGGAGTTGGCAGAAACAAAAATAGCTGTTTCGCCGCTCGAAAAGAACATAGCATACGAAAATTATCCTTTTTATAATGCTATCCTACCAATAACAAAATTGGATAAATAAACTTTTACATTGTTTTTGTTTTCGATTGAAATTTAAATATATTAAAAATCATTAAAGGCTTACTTCTTGACTTAAAATAGTAATACAAATTTCAGAAAATCACTTCAAATATTTTTTGTCTGTACTTCATATTATAATTTAAGACCCGAAGAGAGCAGACGTGCTTTGCGCGAGCTCCGGGAAAAGTTGAAGAAAGTGGATGTATTAAAGACAAATCAAATTTAAAAAAAAAAAACTAAATTGGTGTATGACAAAATAGGCAAAAAGACGCTAAAAAAAATCAGTGATATGATTAAATCAAGTGCAAATTATTTTATAATAGTGCCACGCTAAAAGTTTTATGACCGACGAACCAAATAAAGAGCGCTTAAGCTCGGTGTGCCGAAGAGACGGGTACTTCTCGTATATCTCTACGCGCGATAGTGAAGTGCAAAAAACGTCTACAAAGACCCACCCGGCTCTACTGTCAGTCGATACCCAAAGAGCACGATCGTTGTCACCCTCTTTACTCACTGTTACTCCCACTCCAACGGCGTGGAGTTCTCAATGTAAAACGCCCCCACCATCAGAATCGACCCTTGGCACATCAGCAACATGCAGTGGTAAAACTTCTGCAATCGCACCAAAAGTAAAAGTAACAACGGCTCTTACCGCGGAATCGACAAATATAACGTCAAATAAAATTATGACAAAACAAAACCAAGTAAATATTCAACAAGTGGACCCGGCCATACATACCAGCATGGATCGCTACATCCAAATTAAGCGTAAGCTTAGCCCGAAGAACACCGCGGTGGGTAATAAGCCAAAAATAAACCGAGTCCAAAGAGACAACGAATTACCCGGGAGATCCAATAACAACAGATTTGCCCTCCTAGCTGAAACTCAACCAGAACTGGGTAAATGGACCCAACCGAATCCAAAGACCCCACCAATTTACATTAGGGAAAAAAGCTTGAAGGTAATGGTCAACAAAATTGTTGCGCTGGTCGGAGACGGAAATTTTCATAATGTTCCGATCACTAAAGGGAATGTTCACGAAACCAAACTTCAGACCAAATCCGAAGAACATTTCCGAGCCGTGTCTCAATACCTGGAGGAAGCTAAGAAAATTTACTACATGTACCAACTAAAAAGCAGCAAAGGCTTGCAGAGATCGAGCCCGACTAAAAGGGATCGAGCCCGACGTAACCCCCAATGAAGCTATTGATGCACTCAAAGAAAATGGTTTTTCTGCTAGGAACGTTAGTAACATCATTAACGGCAACAAAAATCCGCAACCACTCTTCAAAGTAGAGCTGGAGCCGGACAGCAGAGTCTTGAAGAAAAAAGAAGTGCACCCCATCTATTACCTGCCATACCTTTTGCACCGAAACATTAAGGTGGAAGAACCACATAAAAGGAACAACCCAATGTACAAACTGTCAGGAGTATGGACACACCAGAAAATACTGCACACTTCGATCAGTATGTGTAGTTTGTGGAGACTTTCACAATTCCGCTAATTGTCCTGCCAACAAAGAAGACCCCAAAAGAAGAAATGTGGAAACTGCGGTGGAAATCACACGGCAAACTACAGGGGCTGTGTGGTCTACAAGGAGTTGAAAGACCGCATGCGACAAGTGACAACAACGCGCCACCAAAACACTCAAAACGTGTACACTTGCTGAAAAACGACGCCGGAAATATTTTTCGGGACGGCTGCAAGATCCTCATTTGGGATTCTCATACGCCGATGCCCTTTGAACAGGAACGGAAAACCAACTCCAGTCTTATCTAGGAAACGTTCATTAGGTCCCAGGACAGTCACAAAGCCCACTGGAAGCTATGATGGTTACTATGCAACAAAGTATGATGGAATTTATGTCCTTCATGAAAACGACCATGCAAACACTGGTTCAAAACCAGAACATGGTGTTACAGTTGCTTGCAGCAAAGCAGTCCAAATAAATGATGGCAAATCTACGAATATCCATGTGGAACGCCAATGGCGTTTCCCGGCACAAACATAAAATAAGACAGTTCCTGAATGAAAATCATATCGACATTATGCTACTGATAGAGACGCACCTCACAAACAAATACAATTTTCAAATAAGAGGCTACCTTCTACCGCACAGATCATCCAGACGGTAAAGCCCACGGCGGAATCGGCAACTAATTACTTGCAGGCCACGTCTATCAAAGAGCGACAGGAGATTATAACGCCTCGTGACTCCCAAAGGAAGGCAATTATATGCAAATTTAAGCCTGAGCAACAAATTGGACTATGTTTCCCCAGGTAGCCCCACATACTGGATAGCAGACCCCAGAAAGGCCCCAGACTTAATAGATTTTGCGGTGACAAAAAACATTCCATGCAATATAATAAGCGCCAAAGCGCTTTCGGACCTTTCATCTGACCATTCGCCAGTGCTAATAACTCTTCTTCAAAGCCCAGAAACTACAGATCACCCCCAGAGAGTGACATGGCATAGAACAAACTAGTTAAAATATATAATGTATGTAAGTTCCCACATCGAACTAACCCCGCATCGAAGCGGACATCGAAAGATCCACTGATGCTCTTGAAGATGTACTCGTGACAGCAGCCACTATTTCAACACCACAATTGAAGGACGTGCAAACTAACCATTTCAAAACTAATCTGCAATTGGAACAGCTTGTACTGGAAAAAACCAACAGATCGCCATCTTCAAAACAACGTCTTAAGGAAGCAACTCGCACACTAAACTGAGCCCTGAAGAAAGACACTGAAAATGCACAACTGCGGTACATCGGAAAACTTTCGCCAACCAGTACAAAACATCCTCTGTGGAGGGCTCACCCAAATCTGAGCTCTCCAATCGAAACAGTCACTCTGATAAGAAACCCATCAGGTAGCTGGAATATACGATAGCCGCCTTATGACGTCTCTAAATTTAATTTTATTGAATTGGATATCGTCGTATCCATCGTCAAAACCTGCAAGAAGTTGAAGCTGGGAAACGTGTGAACTTGGTGGCCATAGAACCTAGCGGGAAAATTACAAGGAAAACCTCTGTCTAGCTCAGTGGTCAAGGGTATTGGGAGTGATTCTGTATGGAGTACGACGCAGATCCTTTGTAATGTTAATATTAACGAACATTTTCTAGAAATAATGCTTCATGTTATAATGTATAAGTTTCTAAATTTTTATATTCTTATTGGACGAGAGATTCTAAGACAAAGCTTTAGAGTTGTAATCGAAGCAAATAAATTCGAAAGTCATAAATTAAAAATAGTTCAAGCGGTGTCGTACGATTTTAGTTTAATAAATTAAATCAATTTCAATAATGATTTAAGTGAATAAAAAAAGGAAAGATTAACTGAAATATTGGGAAAACATTCTAAGTCCTTTTTTGAATGCATTCTACACAGACAAGTAACAACAGGTCTACTTAGTATACGTCTTAGTGAGCCGGCTAAGTGAAGAAGAAAAGGCCAATGTAAGAAAAATGATAGACGAGCTATTGTCTGCCAAAGTTATACGCCCGAGTAGTTCCCTTTTGCTAGTTCGCCTATGCGTTGACTACAGGGAACTAAACGCAAGTATCATGGCGGAAAATAATCCTTTACCACTTATTTCTGATGAAGTAGTTTATGTCGGGAGTATATGTCGGGAGGCAAGTTTGTTATACCCTTGCAGAGGGTATTATAATTTTGGTCAAAAGTATGCAACGCAGTGAAGGAGACATCTCCGACCCGAAAGTATATATATTCTTGAAATGCCATAACTTTGGTGTTTGTAAAGTTAGGAAGTTGGAATTTTCTATGGGTTTTATTTTTGTCCAATCAATCCGACCTACCAAATTTCATAAGGATCGGCCGACTATATCCTATAGCCGCCATATAACTGATTGATCGGAAATGCCATAACTTTGGTGTTTGGTAAATTTAGGAAGTTGGAATTTTCTATGGGTTTTATTTTTGGCCTACCAATCCGACCTACCAAATCGGCCGACTATATCCTATAGCTGCCATATCACTGAACGATCGGAAATTCCATAACTTGGGTATTTTTAAAGTTAGGAAGTTGGAAATGAATATTTTTGGAGAATATAATTTACAGAATATTCTGCAAGGGTATATCAACTTCGGGTCCGCCCGAAGTAAGTTTTCCTTGCTTGTTAAGAATTAAATAATTTATCAAACCAAAATTTTATTCTTAACTTTAATTTTTATTTTAATTGTAAAAATCAAAAACATTTTTTTCCCTATTTGTTTATCAGCAGTATCAAATTTAATTAAAATAATTATAGTGTACGCCCACATTTGGCATACTCATATTACTCGGAACGTATGTTGGTCCAGAAGAGCATTTTATGCAATTCCGTTTTCGTGGTCTATGTTTTGATTTTGATCCATGGCAGTGCATAGCAAATCGAAGCTCTTGAGCCATTTCTGAGCACAGTGATTGATTTTCGGTGTTCAAATTTTTTCTGGAATTCCAACAAAACTCGAATATGGCCACAACAACAGCAAGAGCAAGTCCACAGAGAAGAACAACAAATACGCCACCTGAAATAGGATATTAATTTCACTTTTATATTAAAAATCGAATGAAAAATCCTACCAATATTTTCTACTCCAAGTGCATTGGCTTTCGACTCCTTGCTTTTATCATCCCTGTTGCAAACATCACCCGTGTTTTTCCACCATTTATCATATAATATTTGAATAATGCCTTTTTCTTGTAGCTCCAAAATAGCAAGTGAAATTTTATCTCTCCAGGGAGAACCCTTTGGTGTCGCGATACCATAACCCTTAGAGTCCAGCAAGCCTCCTATTTGCGTTAGATTACAATCACGTTGAACAGCGTAGTCCAGCATTGTAGATTCCATTAAAAATGCGTAGCTTCCTTCCATTACGCGTTTAATTCCATCTTCGTATGTCTTAACAAAAACCGCAGCTTTACGATTCTCCATATAACGCCACATTTTTTGATAAATGCCAATTTTAGAGTCCTAAAGTAAAACAAACGTGATATGTAATAGATATTCAAACATATACTTGGAAAGGGGATAATAAAATTGGTAAGACGTTCGTACCGCTTTTATTTCGGTATAGAATTCTAGATTAAAGAGTTCGAGTGACTGCAGCGTACTATTTTACGAGAACACTGATATTAAAAAATCCTGCCGATTGGAAGAATATAACCTATAGGTGGCTTGTCAAAGTAAGTTTCCAATCTCGTTTCCTTTAATAAGACATTACGGTTTTAACAGCTTTTAATTTTTTAAATCTAAACAAAATTCTCTGGATCTTTTCCTTCAAGAATAAGGATAAGTGCAGCCAAAACAAGTGATATAAACTTAAAAACAAGAAAGGAAATCCGACGTACCAAATTTCATAAGGATCGGCCGACTATATCCTATAGCTGCCATATAACCGAACGATTGGAAATGCCATAACTTTGGTGTTTTTAAAGTTAGGAAGTTGGGATTTTTATGAGTGTTAAGAATGCATCATATGAATAATTTTGGAGAATATAATTTACAGAATATTCTGCAAGGGTATTTCAACATCGGCTCCGCCCGAAGTTAGCTTTCCTTTCTTGTTTTTTAAAAGTTTTAAAGCAGCTTTTTTATCCCATAAGCTATTTGATCCGAGAAACACTATGCACAGTCAACACAATTCAAAAGGTTACATTTTTTATTTTTTGCTAGGGCCTGACGAACGATCATCCAGATTTCATTCCATGTCGATCTGAGTACCAGGGTGAGAAAAGTCTCGACAAAAAGTGTTCGCCCTTTACATTATTTATTAACGATCTCCCTCGCATGTCCTTATGTACACAGATAAGTTATGCCTGCAATATAGGGAAATTTACTGCAGTTCAGACTTACAATCGGACCTAAATGCTTTTCAAACATGCTGTTGTGAAAGTCTTTTGGATTTAAATAGCGCTAAGTGTAAAGTAATGATATTATTTAGCAGTGCACATTGACCGTATTGAGTCGGTACAAAACAAAATTTCTTCTTTTTGCCTTTCGTAGTTTTAACTGGGATCAAAACGTAAGTCTACCTTCCTACCAGAGTAGATTACTGTTGCTTAATTTACCTACACTTGTAAATCGTAGAACAATGCTTGGTACAATTTTTATGCAAAATCTTATAAGAGGTGATATTGATTCTGCAGAACTTGTAAATCGCCTAACTTTAAAAACACCAAAGTTATGGCATTTCCAATCGTTCAGATATATGGCAGCTATATGATATAGTCAACTTTCAATGTTACTGTTAGACTAACACGAAATTATTATCATCTAAATTTGCCACGATGTACATCAAATTTTTGTTTGCACGAGCCCTATAACAACCTTTATCATTTAATTTGTATTTCAACTTCTAACCCGTTATTAAAAACTAATATATTAACTCATTTGCTTCATTCTTAGTTGTGCCTTTTATTTCCATTTGTGTCCTGGGTCTATTTGTTTTATGCATCTTCCTCGCGAACTCGCATTTTTTTGCCCAAATTGATAATAGGGCCCCGCGCGTAACAAGCACGTGCTTGGTGTCGTTGGGCCACTTGTTTGTACTGCTCGAAGTGCATCAACGTCCAACGTCCATCATATATATATTTAGGGTGAATACACAATATGTACGCTGTGTGGTTGTACGTTGTCTAGAATAACGCATGTATATGACCTTGGCGTCCTTCTTGACCCAAAACTTAAGTTTTGTGACCATATTACTTCCATGGTGAATTAAGCCAGGGGAGTACTTGGATTTATTAAAAGCTGGTCAAAGTTCAGACTTACAATCTGACCTAAATGCTTTTCAAACATGGTGTTGTGAAAATCTTTTGGATTTAAATAGCGCTAAGTGCAAAGTAATGACATTTTTTCGGGTGAACCCACAATATGCAACGTATACGCTGGGTGGTTGCGCGTTGTCTAGAATTACGCATGTTGATGACCTTGGCGTCCTCCTTGACCCAAAACTTAAGTTTTGTGACCATATTACTTCTATGGTGAATAAAGCCAGGGGAGTACTTGGATTTATTAAAAGGTGGTCAAAGGAATTCTATGATCCCTATGTTACAAAGACTCTGTTCATTTCACTAGTCCGTCCAATCCTGGAGTACTGTTCAGCAATTTGGAGTCCTCAGTATGGTGTAAATATAGACCGGATAGAGGTTGTGCAAAATAACTTTTTATTATTTGCTCTAAGGGTTTTAACAGGAATGCAAGCCTTATTCTACTATCTTACTCTAGTGAACTTCTTCTAATTAATCTACCATCTTATCAAAGCGTAGAACGATGCTTGGACCTGCTTTTATTCGTTAAGTTATTCACGGGGATGTGAAGAGTCCCGAGTTTCTGGGTCCCCTAAACTTATCTAGAATTACAAGGTTTTATACTCCTCTTTAAATCACCTATTATTTCTACAACCGCATCTTTGCCAGTCTTAAAAGTATTAATATTAGAATTAGTATTTAGTTTCGTATGAATTTTAACTAGTCTGTCCGTTTTTTACGCAGCAATGGAAATAGGGCTGCGCGCGTAACACTTCTGGTCGAAAGGGCCACTAGATTATGACTTATAGTGCATCAAAGTCCGAAAAAAAATCACTTTGGGTGTGGCCAAACTCAGTTTTTTACATTGGTTTATAATAGTTGTCTAGAGATGGGATATTTATTTATTTGTTTAAGTTCAATTTGTCTGAAGTTCAGACCTAACATCTTATTCAATTCCTACTCAATTTTTGAAACAATCGCTTGCCAGAGAGAATTGAATACCGGATATCCAAAACAAAACTTTACCCTGCAGTTCCGAATTTCATCACAAACGAAATTGATCACCATCTCATCAGCCTACACTATCAGCGTCTCTCTCTCGTGACAAGCACTGTCAAAATTACATCTCGCCGTACCATTTGAATACCGAAGAGAGCAGTTTGGCGACTAAGATTTATTTATTAAAATTTTTTTTTTTCGGAGTCCCACGGCCCACTTACCCGCCCAACCGACCGAGGGGCGCAGCCGTGTTTCGTACGGCACGATTCGCGATAAGATAGACGCGAGATAGGAAAATAAAGGTAAAGGTCCGGGGAAAAAAGTAATAGTTAGATCAATCTTGTGCCAATGAAGCAAGTATCAATCGTTTTAGGAGCGGCAGAGAGTCAAGATTTGATATTACAGGAAAAAGTCTATTATAGTCAGAACATAATACTCTGAAAGGCTAATGCAAGGCATAGTTAGATCTACAATGATTTAAAGTTAGGGGAATATAATTTTTAGTTAATCTACTTGGCACAGAAAAGTTTAGCCGACTTAACAAGTCGGGGCAGTCAATATCACCATGTATAAGGTTATAAATAAAGATAGTACCAAGCACCGTTCTACGGTTGGCTAGGTAAATTAATCAAAAGAAGTCTACTAGAATAAAAAGGTAAGATAAGATTTGCATCCCAGTTTAGGCGCCGTAAAGCAAAAAGAAGGAAGTTTTTTTGTACAGATTCAATACGACCAATATTTATTAACCATAGACGAAATGTGATTAGAAAATTTTAGTTTAGGGTCCAAGAGAACGCCAAGATCGTTTTTTTTTTTTTTTTTTTTTTTTTCGCGCGGAGTCCCACGGCCCACTTACCCGCCCAACCGACCGAGGGGCGCAGCCGTGTATCGTACGGCACGATTCGCGATAGGATAGACGCGAGATAGGAAAATAAAGGTAAAGGTCCGGGGAAAAAAGTAATAGTTAGATCAATCTTGTGTCAATGAAGCAAGAGTTATTCTATCCAAAGAGCTGCCACTTGACGTGTAAGTCGCGTATATCGGATTGGCCCGATAAAAAGTCATCAGTTTGCACTTGGAACCGTTTAAATTTAGTAAATCGGATTGCAAGTCTAAATGGCAGGAAATGTCCTTATACTGCAGGCACAACTTAACATCATCTGCGTACATAAGTACGCGAGAATGACTTATAATTGAGGGAAGATCGTTAATAAATAATGTAAAAAGTAACGGACCCAGATGGCTTCCTTGTGGGACACCGGAGGTAACACGGAGAATTTCAGAAATTGAATTTTTAAAAAGAACCCTTTGTGACCTGCCATTTAGATAACATAAAATCCATTTAAGCAGATCAACTGGAAAACCTAAAAGTTCATGTTTTTGAATAAGAAGTAAGTGATTTACAGAGTCAAATGATTTACTAAAGTCAGTGTAAATGACGTCTGTTTGAAAACTACTATTGAAGCCTTTTATCACAAATGAAGTGAGCTCTAGAAGGTTTGTGATTGTGGATCTACGTTTTATAAATTCGTGTTGACACGGAGAAATGATTGATCTGCAAAGGTGCTGCAAATGAGGAGTAATAATTTTTTCAAAAAGCTTAGGAATAGCTGACAACTTAGAAATACCTCTGTAGTTACTGGCTTCTAACTTGTTACCTTTTTTGAAAAGAGGAATAACAAATGATTCCTTCCAAATATTTGGGAATTGGGAGGTTTCTAGAGATAAGGTAAACAACTTGTGAAGAGGTTTGCACAGGGCCTTAGCGCAATACCTAAGCACGCACCCAGGAATACTATCGGACCTAGGCGAATAAACAGGCTTAATACGAAGAAGATCCAAAAGAAGAGAGCTTTCTGTTAAAGTGGGACAGAATATGAGGTTTGACTTGGACATGGTGTAAGAATAAGGCTGTGATGAATAATCTAAAGTAGAGTAAGTCGTTTGAAAAAATTGGGCAAATAAATCGGCTATTGCCTGATCTGTGGTTGCCGTCATGTTTTCGAACGACAGCGAGGAAGGAAAAGAATTAGATTTACGCTTTGTGTTAACAAAATTATAAAAATGTTTCGGGTCCTGAGAGAACTGGATCTTACAACGGTTTAAGTAACTATTATAACACTGAGCATTAAGCACGGTAAATCTTGACCGAGCACTTAAATATCTAGTAAAAGCAGATTGAGAACCGGTATTTTTATATTTCCTAAAAAGTCTGGACTTTAC